ATTCTATTTCTGCCACTCGCCCTTATGTTCCTGGAGCCACATTTTCTCATGTCGCTGTAATTGACTCATTAATACTGCTCAACAGGATCCATTGAATAAACATATCAAAATTTATTTACCCATTCTACTGCTGATGAACATTTGAGCTGTTTCCTGTTTGGGTCAATTAAGAATAATGCTGCTGTGAACAGTTGTAACCACCTTCTTGGAGTGTGGTGTGTATCACCATAAAACTTACCCATTTTAAGTAGAATATAAATTCATACCGTTGTATAAACCTCACCACCACCGAGGTTTGGGAATACGTCCATCACTCGAAGGTCCTTCATGCCTGTTTATAGCCAATCCCACTTTCGGTAGACCACCACTGCTCTGCTCTCTGGCATTCTGGCTTTTCCATAAATTTCATATAAGTAGATTCAGACAATAAGCAGTTTTTTGCATCCGGTTCCTTTCCCAGTGCATAATGTGTTAAGGCTCACCCACCTTGCTCCATGTTTGATCCTTTTCAATGCTGAAGGGTGTTCCATTCTGTGCCTTTGCCTATCATTGCCCAGTAGGTAAAAACTTGGTTGAATTTCAGGTTTCAACCGAGAGATGCTCTGAGAATGTTTGTGTGCAAGACTTCGTGGGGACCAGTATTTCACTTCTCCAGGAGTAAAATTAATGGGAGAGAGTAATTTTATGTTTGATTTTGTTTTTTAATTTGAGACACACTATCCCAAGCCGGCTTCTGTAATTGCTCTGCCTCAGCCTCCCCAGTGCTGGGACTGCAGATGTAAACCATCAGGCCTAGCATACTGTATGTTTGACTCTTTTCTCATTTTTAAAGTGCTGGAGATGGAACCCCAAGCCTTGCTTGGTCATAAAGTGCTCTACTACTGAACTACACCCACAGCCTGTGTCTAACATTTTTAAAAAACAATGTAACTGGCAGGCAGTTCTTCAATTACTATTCTTCACACTGCTCATACCAAAGGGCACTAAATAATCTTGTTTTCCAAAGTGATTGAGCCATTTTGCATTCACCACTTATGTCAGAGGAGGACTGAAGATGAGTGGGAGGAGGAAGATGGTCCCCTTAGGGGGTGCATGACTAGGGTGGTGAGGCTGGATATAGGGAATTCTAAATGAAGTTAGGGATACTCAAGTTTAGAGAAATCCCACCACCATCCAGTTGTAGGATGCTCAATTTGTTTTTAGCCTACCCAAACCCCATGTTCATGTCTGTGAAATAGGTACCAGGCTGCGCTACTGGAAAGGAATTCAGAACTGTTGAATTAACTATGCACTACCAGAGCTTGGGACCCTCAACCTCCCATCACCATTACTATCAACCTCATGGCTCAGGGACATCAGCTCTTCAACCTATTTACTTCATGCATAGTCTACTTTAAATACAACTGGGAACTCCAGATGTCTAAAAAGAAGAAGAAGAAGGAGGAGGAGGAGGAGGAGGAGGAGGAGGAGGAGGAGGAGGAGGAGGAGGAGGAGGAGAAGGAGAAGAAAGAGAGAAAAAAACTGTATGTAACTAAGAGAAATGCTTACTCACTTAACCCAAATCTTCATGGACAAACAAGCATTCAGACTGCATTTACACAGATCTGCTTTTGACTGGAGAATGGAGACTGGAGGACCTCTCTAACACAGAATAGGATGTTCCTGGTTTTGCTCTGTTGCCTCCTGCCACAGTGTGTTACTGCCTGGCTCCCACACCCCTAGTGAAATCCCAGAAGTCCCCAGAAACACCTCGGCGATATCTGAGGGGGCAAAAGGGATACAGGTGAAAGGACCTTTCAAGCAAGAAAGACACAGGTGCGAGGCTCAGACCTAACGCTTATCAGCAGATAGGTCTGAAGCACGAGGAAATTAAAGCCCCCGGGCTCAATGGGCTGCGGCGAGTGAAGTACCAAGTGCTCCTAGTGGTGAAATCATTCCCATCAGCTGGGAGACTGTGTCCAAGGCAGGAAGCAAGAGAAGAGATGCCCTGATTTGATTCTCCTGATTCCCTTCTAGCCCTTGTCCACATACACTGAATCCTGATATAGTATAAGGCAAGGTGACCCAGACCCTTAATCCCATCATTCAGGTGGTGGAGGCAGGAGGATCCTGATTAGAGGACCAGCCTTGGCTGCATATACATCGAGTTCCAGGCCAGCCTGAGCTGCATAGTTAGACCTTAACTCAAATAGAGAAAAAGGAAAAGAGGGAGGGATGGAGAGGGGGAGGAGGAGGAGTGGAAATCTGACACAGGTGTCACCTCTGGCCAGAACAAAGCATACCTTTTTGACAGGTGACAAATACATTTTCACATGACCACAAAATTCCAGTAGAGAAATAAAGCCAGCTGTAAGTAAAAGGACCCGACTCCAAGCACCCCAGCCACAAAGACATTTAATTAAGTCATGTAACAAGTCACCAACAAAAACGTAACCACAGCTTTTTTTTAAAAATAAGCATTTCCAGTAACCCACCACTGTCCCAGCTTTATCCTGAAGCCTTATTACCTCAGGGCCACTCCAGCTCCATAACCTGAGCTGAGGAATGGATTTCTTGGTACACACTGAGTTGTTGGCTTTTTGTTATATGAAATTTTTTGAGAATTTCATGTGAGTGCAGGTACCACCCACAACTTATTCATTATTGTTGTTACATATATACATATAAATTTATAAATGTAATCTGCTGATGCCCTTTAGTGTGGCTCCTATGTGTGTTAGAACTGACACTTGGGATTTGTGGTGATCTACTGTGTACCCACCCTATTAACTTATCTGGGGATCAGAGGAAAGAACCAGCCACTAGATTAGACATAGAGGCCAGACAGTGGTGACACACACCCTTAATATCTGGCTCCAGGTTTTCTATTAATAAGACCTTTTAAGATTCGTGTTACAAGGATTGGACAATCTATTGGGCTCGCTAATGCATGGAGAAGACTTCCTCTCTCAGCAACCATTAATTACCCATAGTTCTTCTAAGGATGGGACATTGTGAGATTTTCCCCATTCACATTAGCGTGTTAACTGGTGTTGTCATTTTTCAGGTCTAAGCAACCACACTATTAAGATTTCATGGACACAGTTTCCAGTTATATACAGAAGACACTGACATCCTGGTATTCTGTCCCTTATAATCTTCTGTCTTCTCTTCTGCAATGTTCCCTAGGCCTTAGCTGTAAGGGTTTTGTCTTAGGTAAGGAGAAAACTTGTAGCAGGAATCTTAAAAGTTCTTATTAATAAAATCAAACCTGAGGCCGGTTATTGGGGTGAACTCTGGAAGATCAGAGAGACAGAACAAGCCACAGCTAACCTCACCTGGCCAACTTCTCAGCTGATCTTGTTTCCTCAGACTGGAAGCCTCTGTGTCCTCATATCCGAATGGCTCTCAGCTGAACTATGCTGCTCAAAACCTAAAAGCTTAACCAGCCAAATGCTTAACCAGCCAAATGCTGCTAGTTCCCGGTTTTCATGCCTTATATACCTTTCTGCTTTCTGACATCACTTCCTGGGATTAAAGGCGTGAGTCACCATGCTTGGCTGTATGCTTGAACACATGGATTTCTGCCTCTGGAATGCTAGGATTAAAGGTGTGTGCTACCACTGCCTCACTAAGTATCTAGTGGCTTTTCTGTTCTCTGACCCCAGATAAGTTTATTAGGGTACACAATATTTTGGGGAACACAATACCACCACAAAAACTCCTTCCCAAGAACCCTCTAACAGATATCTGCTTACATCTCAAATTCAAGGGCTAGGACTGGATCACCAGCCTTCTCACTCAGTGGGAACCATCACAGAAGAGACTGCCAAGATACTCTACAGGATACAGAGAAAAAAAACTGGGAGACTCTAGGCCTGTAGGCTGAAGAATGAATGCCCCAATTTTGCAGAAGAACTTTGGGTAACTGTCCAGGTAGCCAGCTGCCTCTGTCATTTCCAGAACTTTTTGGAAATTGCTTACAATGCCCTTCCTGTTTACTTAGATGATAATATATGCTTCTGAGGACTTTGGTATAGTTGAAGACTAGATAGTTATAATTTTCCTTGGTTATGATAAAAGATAAATTAGATATGAAATTTTAGACTCACAAATATAAGATAGAATATTTTTTCTTTAATTTTACAAAATACAAATAGAGTAGATATTATAACTAATTCTTGCTTCATAACTGTTCTATTATATGTAATTTTACTATGTTAAAGTTAAAACCTTCCTTTTTGTTTAGAGAGAAAAAGGGAAATGCTTTTGTACACTGGTTTAATAAAATGCTGATTGGCCAGTAGCCAGGCAGGAAGTATAGGTAGGGTGAGCTAGAAAAGGTGCCAAGCCACGTGGCTAAACATAAATAAGAATTATTGGTTAATTTAAGTGTAAGAGCTAGTCAGTAATAAGTCTGAGCTAATGGCCGAGCAGTTTTAATTAATATAAGCTTCTGAGTGATTATTTTATAAGCAGCTGTGGGGTCCTTGGTGCTGAGTGAACACAGAAAAACCTTCAGCTACAGTGAGATATCTCTGCTTGCCTTAGACCTATCACAAGTTACAAGGTAAGGGTGTGACAGAGAATTAGGAAAGCGGGGCAGGGTGGCTGCCATTTTCCCTGAGGAGCTCCTTCAAGGTTCACAGGAAGGGAATGAGGCCCAGAGACCTTAAGTCCCTCACCCAAAGCCCCATGTGTCTTCAAAAACCCCACCAGAGCCTAGAAAAGCCACTTCACCCAGGAGTGTCTCCACTATGTCCAGCTCTATGACTCCACAGGGCATGAGCATTAACCCAAAACTTAGCCAGAGGTATGGCATGGACAAGGTCAAGGTCCTTCAAAAAGATCCCTCCAGTGCCTCTCACTGGGCCTGCCTACAAAGCCCACAGTAGGGAAAAGCACTTGGAGGCACTCACCAAAGCTTGCCAAGTAGGCTAGTGAGAACCCACTACCCAACAAACTGTATCTCTAGGTTGCTGGTGCCTGGCCAAATTCTCATTACTCAGAGCTGAACTCACGCTTCTGGGGAGGTCGTGTTTTAATCCATCCACAGTCTGTGTGCAGCCTCTCGTGGCTCAGGTCTGCTACCAGCAAAGGAAACAGCCAGGCTAGGAACGTGTGGAGGCAGGAACACAGCACAAGCAGCACACCCCATGCCCACCCTGCCCGCCACAGCCTTCTTCTAGCCAGCCAAGCACACTTCAGAAGGAAGCTGAGATGAGGTCCACGTCCACTTCTTGCCTCCAATGGATGAGTATATTTATTTAAAAAAAAAAAAAAACAAAACTTTCACACTGGCTATTTCTGTCTGCTGCGTTCAGACTCTTGGAGAGTGAACAATAGGCAGTTTAACTTCATGGAAGGTACTGGAATAAGTCTGTTGTCAGTTCTGAGAGAGAGAGAGAAAGAGAGAGAGAATTCATGGCCAGGCTAAGGCTCATGTTCAGTAACAAAAAGTGAACATTTATTTAGCCCAGACCTGGAACAGCCACCCACTCTGGAGTTCCCACTAATAGCAAAAACTCCCTTTGTATGGAAGCCATGTATGCACCTGTAGCTAGAGTTTTCCTGCCTGGCCCACAGTCAGGACAAATCTCTGACACCCGCCAGTCCCACAGCCACTCAAACCCACCCAAGTAAACACAGAGACTTATATTGGTTACAAACTGTATGGCCGTGGCAGGCTTCTTGCTAACTGTTCTTACAGCTTAAATTAATCCATTTCTATTAATCTATACCTTGCCACATGGCTCGTGGCTTACCGGCATCTTCACATGCGGCTTGTCATCATGGCGGCTGGCAGTGTCTCTTCGCCTCAGCCTTCCACTTCCCAGCTCTATTCTCCTCCTTGTCCCGCCTATACTTCCTATCTGGCCACGGGCCAATCAGTGATTTATTTATTGACCAATCAGTAACACATTTGACATACAGACCATCCCACAGCATGCACCCAAAGACATTTAAAAGCCTTCATGATCCTAGCCAGGCGGTGGTGGCGCACGCCTTTAATCCCAGCACTCGTGAGGCAGAGCCAGGCGGATCTCTGTGAGTTCGAGGCCAGCCTGGGCTACCAAGTGAGTTCCAGGAGAGGCGCAAAGCTACACGGAGAAACCCTGTCTCGAAAAACCAAAAAAAAAAAAAAAAAAAAAAAAAAGCCTTCATGATCTTACAGATTTCTGGGTCAAACACCTACTTAACACTTGAGAGTGAGTGAGAGTGGCAGTGGGAATTAGCAGCACATGTAGTTGTGCCCCTGATACACATGCGCCTTCTATAACCTTCCAGAACCTCTCTGTACTATCACCCACACCTTCAGGTTGCAAGAACTAGACAATGCATTTGATCTCACTCATGCAAAGATTTTATTCTTGGGCTGTGGAGATGGCTCAGCAGGTAAAAGCACTTGCCATTCAAGCCTGACAGTCAAGGTTCAATCCCACACAAAGGTGAAGAGACCCTACTCCTGAAAGGTGTCCCCTGACCTCCACACTCATACTGCAGTGTGTCACCTGCTCTCTCTCTCTCTCTCCCTCTCCCCCCCCCTCTCTCTCTCTCACACACACACACACACATACACGAGTAAGGGGACAGAGTGAGCACACAAAAACACAATAAAGATTTTTTTAAGCTTTATTCAATCACGGGGACTAAGAAATGTGGAGAAAGGCAAACAACCTGTTTCTTGTTTGCCCCCCTCCCCCGCTCCAGCCTGACCCAGAGGAAGCTGACATAGTAACCAAGTTTAAACTTTGCTTGCTGAAGTGCTTCTCCGAATAGGATTCCCCTTCTTCAGAGCTTGAAGACTTTGCATACATTGAAAGTATGCAGGCAGCATAGACACACATACAGAGTGGATCTCCCATTTATAGAGTAAAAATCTTCATACCGTAACTCTGGGGTCCACTGTGCTTGTGGTAAGAGCTCAAGTTCAGTGTCAGCAAACCTGCCAGGCTTCTGTGGGAGACTCATAGCACTCAAGCTCTTCTGTTTATTTTTGGTGGGAGAGAGGAGAAAATAAAGGGTGACTTTGAACCTGAGTGCCAACACAAACTTTAAAAAGGAATGACATTGCCAAGTGCAGAGTATTCCTGCCTGTCCTCAGGTCTCTACCAAACGTTGGAAGCTAGCATGAGAAGGAACAAGAAACACAAGCCCTAACTCGGCACTAGCTGACCAGAACATGTCCCTCTCTCTTGTGTGCTTTATTTTCTGAGACAGAGTCTCTCTGTGGAACAGCTCTGGCTATCCTGGAACCCACAGAGATCTGCCTGCCTCTGCCTCCCAAGTGCTGGGATTAAAGGCGTGCGCCACCACTGCCCAGCTCAAGTGTCCCATTCTTGCTTCAGGTCCTGACCCTGTACCTCCAGTGTGCTCTGTATAGCTCCCTGCAGTCAGGCGCTCAAGCAAAGCCACATCATTCCAACTCACTTCTTTCCAACTATCCACTGATGCTAACACTATCTTAGACTCAAATACCTTCTGTGCTGTGGTGTTTGGGGAGGTCACCTGGCCAGGAGTAATGAGGCCCGACTCCTATTCTGACTGTCACATAGTCACTGTTGGACCCTCAAGAACTCTATCTTTTCTTGGGGTCTCATTTTCTTTACCCGTAAAGACTAGATTAGATGATCCCAAAGATTCCTCTCATGGCTGGCCTACTTCACCCACACATTCATCCTAACATTAATCCAAGCCAGAACCAAGCTCTGAGCATTCTGCACCAGGCACAGTATGTCATGTGACTGTGGCCTGCCACCTAAAGAAAGCATTGGATCCTATCTCCTTGCTTCCATGGACACTGTATGGTGCAGAGTGGAAAAACAAAACCAGCTCTCCCACCTGCCCAACCAACAAAGAGAAGGTGTTTTTCTGTTCCCTCATCCTAGGTCACATCCTAGAAGAGTCTTCGGGGCATTTTCGAAGTTTCAAGTTATTTTTTGAGGTTTTTGGTGTTTGCATTTTAAGTTGCCTCTTTTCCAGGGAAGGGTAACACCACTTCTTTCCCTCCTAATACGTCCTTTATTCTCCTGGGTTTTGCCAAAAAAAGAGAAAATGTTACTTGTTTCAAAGTATTAAATATGCTGTTTTTCAAGTTGCACGGGCTCTAGATTTCAATATAAGCCCCCAGAAGATGAGCTTCAAGCAAACAGACCCGTGGAAAGAATTTCTGGCCCATTCCTCGATACCACCTAAAGTAAACACCACCCCCAGTTTCTGAACACCTGTTGGACCTGCTATGACTCTCCACCATTTACAACCGTGAGCTTCCTCCCTGAGCCTCAAAGTTTGTGGGAGGATTTCACCCTGTTCAAAGAGCTCCAGAGCGTTGTGCCAACCAAAGTCACTGGGTCTGTGTAGATGGGCGTTGATGGGAGATAGCGCCTAGCTCTGCCTCCCACAGCTTTTCTTGCTGATGACGTTGAAAGGCAAGGGGAAATGGTGGTCTCAGACCGTAACCCCGGGTCCAGCCAACGCTGCAGGTGGATACTTGCATCCCAGTGATTCCATCGTGACCTGAGCCCACAGCATCCTCACTACCCCGCAGAGAGAAAACCAAGTCTCCACGCTCGGGCGAAGGCTAGCCCCAGCCACCGCCCCTCCTAGTCCCTCTCTGCACAGCCATTGCCCACCCCCCCCCCCACACACACACACCGCCGCCCGCCCCCTCCCGGCTGCCACCAATCAGCGTCCCGAGCGGCGCTAGCGGAGTCAGGTCGGCAGCCACTGAGCGCCAGGGCCCGAGGCGGCGCCTCACCCGCCCCCTCGCAGGATGCCAGGCGCCCCGCAGCTGGCGAGGTGGGCGCAGCGCGCGGGGCGCGGGAGGCGCGCGGGGTTGGAGAGGAGCGCGCGCCCGCCTCCGCTCCGCCTCCGTCCGGGGGCGCGGGCGCGGTGGCCCCGGCGGAGGATCGCAGGGGGCAGGGCCAAGACAGCGAGGAGGGGCACCGGGGAAAGCGGGAACGATAAAAGAAGGCAAGGCTGCCCCACCCCGAGGCAGGCCGGTGGGCAGTCTCTTGCGTCCCTTCCGTCCGGCCTGTGTCGGCGGCGGCGGGGAGGCGCGCGGCCCGCTGCCGGCCCATGGAGGCTTTCCCTTGGGCGCCACGCTCGCCCCGCCGCGCCCGCGCCCCCGCGCCTATGGCGCTCGTGCCCAGCGCCCGCTACATGAGCGCCCCGGGCCCGGTGCACCCGCAGCCCTTCAGCTCTTGGAACGACTACCTGGGGCTCGCCACGCTCATCACCAGGGCTGGAGACCGGGGCTCCCCGCCCTCCTCGTCCCACTGCTCCTCACACGAAGGGTCCGGGCCCTTGGCGGCGGGACCCACGCTGGGGCAGCCCGACGACGAGGAGGACGACGATGGCAATGAGCAGCGGACCCGGGACCGCTACCTGGGGGGCGCGCTGGAACTGCGCGCGCTAGAGCTGTGCGCCGGCACCGCCGAGGCCGGGCTGCTGGAGGAGCGCTTCGCTGAGCTGAACCCATTCGCAGGGCGCGCCGCCGCGGTGCTGCTGAGCTGCGCGCCCGCCGCCTCTGCCGCCCCCACGGCCGAGGTGACGCCGCGCGAGGAGCCCGGCCCTGCGTGGGCAACAGAACATCGTCTGCACGCGGCCTCCGGGGCGGCCGCCGCACGTCTGCTGAAACCGGAGCTGCAGGTGTGTGTGTTCTGCCGGAACAACAAGGAGGCGGTGGCGCTCTACACCACACACATCCTCAAGGGTCCCGACGGCCGAGTGCTGTGTCCGGTCCTGCGCCGCTACACGTGCCCCCTTTGCGGTGCCAGCGGCGACAACGCACACACCATCAAGTATTGCCCGCTCTCCAAAGTGCCACCGCCCGCTGCTCGCCCGCTGCCGCGCAGCACCAGGGACAGCCTGCCCAGCAAGAAGCTACGCTAGGGCCGGGCTGCGGACACCTGAAGCCATGGTAGCACCTCCTTTCCCCTTTGGCTCAACTTAGGAAGTAGTCTTGGTTTTGCGGGAGCCGGCGGGGCGCAGCACTTTGCAGTGTAGTGGTCTGGTCTCTGACGTTGAAATCTTGAATTGTGTCTCTAGTTTCTAAAGCGCGCAACCAGAATCGTTGAGGGCTGAGCGGGTATACCACCGGCTCTAAGTGTGGTGACTGAAGCATTGTTTACTGTATACGTTGGCCTATTTTAGGTGCGCATCAGTATGAAACTGTCTCTGACTTTGGATGTTTCGTTTTGTGAATGGAGGCACTTTATTAGCTCTAGAGTATTTTTAATAGCCTCTGAACTTGAGTGTGCAAAACTAACCATTTTATGGAATGTCGGCAAATGTCTATTTTATTGTTTGATGCAATTTATTAATTTTTTAAGTTTGTCCTTAACTCTAATTGCAGGTAAAACAATTTAGTACACTTCCCAGTATCAATTTGAGAGGATGTTCCTCCTCTTGGCTTGTTTCTGTCCTAGCTGGGAGGCTTAAAGGCACAAACTTTAGCAGGTAGAATAGTTCCTTAACCTTTTATGTATGATATTCTACTAATTAGCAAGTAGCCCTTCCCACCCTCTTAAAATTAACTGTGCCAAGTCCTAATCATATCGTGTACATATTTGGAAATGGTGCTGTTTAAGAAGACTTGTGTATTTATACAGTGACAGTATATGAATACATTAATCTCCCCCTGTAAACTCCTACCTAGCATTTTCTCAATGCACCATCCCCAGACCTGTCCAATTCTTTGTCTGATGCTGAGATCCAAGAGAGCAGTGTTAACTCACCTTGATTGCTCAATTTCAGACTTCTTAAATAGAAAACAGGAAACTTTGAAGCAATAACCTGAGTTCCAGAAGGTTCTACTCTGGGCTGTCTACCTTCAGATATACAGAAGGTTTGCCAGAATAAACACCATTTAAAGGCTCCAATACCTGGGGTTGGGTACAAGTATCATGACTTCCCTGGTGGTGGTTCCACTCTTACTGGTCTGCTTCCAGAACCTAATCTTCAGGGAAAATTTCCTAACCCCTTACTTCCAGTACTCCAGTAAATCCATCACACTGAATGCTGGACTATGGACATTGAATGATGGGACTATACCATCAAGATAGTAGATGCAAAGATGGAGGTGAATTAAGATAAACTCAGACATAACACTAAACAACATTACCTGAAAATACCAGCCAAGAGTTTAAGTATATAAAACTTAACAGTAGTCAGATATAGCTAGAGTACTGAGAGTTAGACTGCCGTTCATATTAAACAGCTAACTTCCACAATAAATGTAAAAATACTGGATAGCTGTGTGCCCTGTTTGGTAAAAGGGAGGTGCATCATATCATAAAAAGATGGGGTTGGTGGAAAGACTTAACAAGAAAATAACCATTATAGCCCCACAGAATTGGCAGATTCCACTTGGCCTGGGTCGCAAACTTAATAAAACCATGTAGTTCCTTGTTCTTTTGCTAGAAAATAAACCATTTGTTTTGGGGTGAAGTTTTTCAAGTGAACATAAATTCACATTCTCTCCACTAACTGGTTATGTTTTCCAAGAAATGAGCATTCTCAAAGGGCAAACTCAAGTCATTCAGCTCTTTGAATTGTGGTAGTCCCACCAGATACATTCCAAGGCATGTGTGTGGTGCCAGTACATGTGAATACATGAGCGGAACCACTGATGACACATACCTAATGCCAATTTTCATTTTCTGACATCTTACTAGAAATAGGGATGTTGTTTGCACCCCTGTTCAGTGGTGTTAAGAGGGGTCCGGAAAATGTCCTCACATTAGGTAGCTCTTATATTAACAGATGGGTATATAGGTACCAGTAGTGTTTCTAAGCACAAAGACCCGAGTTCAATCCCTAGCACCCACATAAAAATATGGGAATGGTGGTATGCCTATAATCCCAGTGCTGGTGAGGCAGAGGCCAGCCTTGCTAAATGAAAAACCCTACCTCCTAAGTTAGGTGGGCTCATGAAGACTATCATCTGAGGCTAACCTCCATTCACATACATGCACATTTCAGCTGCAGTTTTGGGTAAGTTTTAAGTCAAAGGTAGCTATGGTCTCAACCACAGGGGAGGCAGAGAAGCCCTGCCTGGGGCTCACTGGTCAGGCAGTCTAACTCCAGGTTTGGAGAACTCCAGATTCAAAGAAATATCTTGTTTGCACGCACGCACAAGGGAGCTAACAAATACTGAAAGTCTACAATATAAACAAAAAATATTGCTGGTTTTCCAGAGTCCTAGAGGAAATAAACTTAGCCCCTCCTGCCACTCAAAAAAACTTTGGAGCCAGGCATTGTGATGTGCGCCTTTAATCCTAGCACTCCTGAGGCAGAGGGAGGCTAAGTAATCCTTGGAATGAGATACAACTTTTTTTTTTCCCCTTCAGAATGAGAGTCTGCAAAAAATGTTTACAGTAGACCCAAGTTTAGGGTCAGGGATATAGTTCAATGGTAGAGTACTTGCCTAGAATGCAAAAAACACTAGGATCAATACCCATTATTAAGGGGAAGAAAATGAAACTTAAATCCCAAAGTTTAATACAAAACTGTGACAAGGTTGGCTTCTAAGAATGCACTGTGTAGCTGGCTAAACCACAAAAGGTACAGCCCTGTCAGCTTCTCCATGGGCAGAGGCACAGGCTGTACTATGCTATGTCCAAACTTGTTATTCTAATGGCTTTTATTTTTTTGTATTTTTCCTACAAAGTCCTTTTCAGAAGTTAAATAGCTTTGACTAGAACTTTTGTCAGATATATTAAACCAGAACTATTTATTTAAAAATCATCAGAAATGTATTTCAGGTTACTTTTGTTGTCTAAGCCTCTTGAGTAGTTTTTGAGAATGGGTCTCACCAGCCAAAGCTGACCTGGAAAATTCAGTATCCTTCTGCCTTACCCAACAAAGTTCTGAGATAAATGCCATGTTGTACTGGTGGTTCTTGACTATATCCCACACACAGGTTCACACCCCTTCCTGGTTGGCACTCTATGGACAAGTGTGACATAGATCTTCTGAGGGTCCTCTCTACCTTTCAAGTACAGCTATAGAAGCTATAAGGTTCCATTGTTCCAACTGCAGAAGCCACGGGGCTCACCTGGAGATTAATCAGCTTTCCTTTAACCTGTTAAATGTATTGGGGGGGGGGGGGGGGGCGCTATGATAGTGGAAGTGGAATCCCATGAGCTAGACCACAAAGCAACATTATCAGATACTTCTGCCCCCACACTGTTCTCTGAGTTTTCTCCCAGAACAAAAACAAAACCACTGCAGAAAATGTCTGGAAACCTTGAAACCTGCTCCCCCCCACCATGTGCATTCATCTATACGTAGCTGATTAAAAGAATCACTTGCTGGGGATTATCTGTGGCATCACATTAGTGTTCGGCTCACTAGTAAATGCATACATAGGTTACTGCCTCAAATATAACCAATGGTCTCTAAGTACTTTATTTGTTATGATTAAATAATCCCTTCCATGTTTGAAAATACAGTCCTTGGTAACACCATACAAAAGCACCCGATTAAGTAGAAAAGCATCAGTACTCCCTCTTCTGGCCTGACAGCTATTTTAACAGTAGAAATTTTAAGCCACTACCATACTAATTTATAAAGCCTATACCCACTAAAAGTTTGTCACT